CAAGAAAGTACTGCTTGGACGTGATATATTTGGTCGAAAAAGTTTACTATGGAAACGAGTGGATACAAAATTTTATTTTTCCATTTTCGTTTGCGATAGGCAGGTAATGAGATTAATTAGTCAGTGTTAAAAAATGGATGTTTGCACCGTCAGTAATCAAATCTCTGATAAACTTTCCCAAACATTTTTCAGCGGAGCTGGTACGATGTGCCATCGGGCACGGTAACTGTTCTTGATTTGTGCAATAAGGGAAATACCACTATATTTCATGTTTTCGAAGCCAGCGGACCATGGGTAGAACAATTTAATACACTTTGCCTGGTGGAGAGGAAACTAGTTTCGGAAAGATTCATACCTTCACATGAACTGGGTTTTAAAAATGTGTGTTAAATTGTGCTTTTTTTCCTGTATGATGTGATGATTTACATAAGTTACAGAAAAGATGACATACTGGGGTTAAATTTTCGCTTTTGACGGGAATATGAGATTACTGGATTTATCAATTCTACAGATTGTGTGAATCTGATTGCTTACATTCTCAGAAATAAGTGTAAAGAAGCAAATAAGAGAGTAAAAGTTACTGAAGTGAGGAAATTAGATTATAAAAACAGTACCTTTACTCTTATTTGATGCTTTTATAATATTTTTCTATAGGTAAATCGCGAAGATATGGCGAAGATTATGTTGAAACAGTTGAAAGAAGCTGTACATCGTACAGTTTCTAACCTGGATGTATTTACGAAATCTATATCACTGTCGTTCAGTGGTGGTGTGGACAGTTTGTTAATTGCTCATTTGATGGCTCACTGTATGCCGCAAAATGTAATATTCGATCTAGTGAATGTCGCTTTTGACAAGGGGGAGGTCTGTAATATTTTTTTTTCATTTGTTCTTAGGATTAGTGCTGTTTTTTACTGATTTTTTTCAAATGAAATGAAAATCTATTTCAAGAATTACGATGGGGCTCCAGACCGACCACAAAGCAAAAAAGCATTCAAATATCTAAAATCTTGCTACCCTGAACTCTCTCTTCGCCTGCTTCTGGTTAATGTTGATCTGAATGAATTGGTATATTGCCGAAAAAAATTTATATCAAGTGCAGTGGCTCCAGCTTGCTGTGTCTTAGATGATTCGATTGGATGTGTGCAATGGTTCGCTGCTCGTGGTGAAGGGCTCCTGTTCGAAGATGAGGAGAAGCCTTTCGTACCTACAAAGTTGGTAATGCTCATTTTGTGAAACTTCATATCACTGTATACTTCAGGTTTTCAAACATCTGTCTTGACTAAAGGAGAATCCATCCCTCCATATAAATTAGCGAATTTCAATCAGTGTTTTTGCTTTAGATCAGAAGCCGGTGTGGTATTTGTCGGTAGCGGTGCAGACGAATTGTTTGGTGGTTACATGCGGCATAGAACCACCTATCTGAAGAAAGGAAGAAACGCGGTAGTGGAAGAATTGCGTAAAGAATTAAGTAGGATTGGTGAAAGAAATCTTGGACGTGATGATAGAGTGGTCTCAAGTCTAGGCAAGGATCTAAAGTTTGTGCTATGAATTTGCTCACTTATTGCTTAGTTTGCGCTTGTCATGCTCAACTAGTGCCAGAAAGCTGTCAATTTAAATTGGATTAAATGATTCTTTGGTGCTTTGCTTCTCTTCTGTATAATTGATCTGTGAAAAAATCTTGACTTCAACAGTTCTTACTTCAATTCTGTTTCCACCTTCTAGATCACCGTTTCTTGATGATTTATTCGTTGAATGGGTCAACTCTCTACCCCTCGAATGCAAAACTGATTTTACGCAACCTCGAGGGATTGGAGAAAAGTGGTTGGTACGAGATGCATTAAAGGTAGATTGTGTTATTGCATTAAGGCGGATTTGATGTGTATTTTCACTTTGCGAATGTTTTTCAGATATTGGGAACACCACAGTCGTTATGTCTTACTCCGAAACGTGCTATGCAATTTGGTACAAGAATAGCAAAATTGGAAAATCGAGGAGAAAGAGGAAATGACATTTGTCTTAGACTTTTGGAAGAATGAATTTGACAATGTTATTGTCAGTGGGTAATCGTCTTAAACTTTTCTGACTAAAGCTAGAAGTTCTTTTTTACACAAAATTTGGTTATTCCCGTACAATTAGAGAAATTTTGACATCACTTGCTTTGCCCCATGAACAAAAAGTTAGGGGATTCGATGGAGTAGGTTTGCGCGATACATACTGAAAATCGGAGTTGAGGATTGTGATTCCCTCCTGGTCCTTTCAGAAGTGCAAAATTGAAGTCATGTGCGTTTTTCAAGTGGTTTGCGAATGAGCCATTTGTGGCTCCGAAAATTCATACCTTACGCGATTACGTGAGAATCTTTTTGAAATTTTGTGTGCAAAAATATCTGCATTTAATTCTCTGGATCATTCTTTACAGGTTCAGCATATGCACTTATATCGATAGGGAGAGGGGTGAAAACAACTTGTGCAACGAGGTATAGTAAAGTGTCACTTCGCACCTTCAGGCAAGCCATTAGGAGACTGTAAAATTGATAATATATAAATTTGCTTCTATAAGATACTTCACAAATCAAATATGAACAATCGATGCGAACCATTGAATCTGCCGCAAAATAAGTAGTGTTCAGCAGTGCATCCTGTCATAAACAAAAGTTTTCGCAATTTGTTTTTGGGACAGACTTCTGGCTGATGGATCGAATCCCGACTGATGATGCATTTTTCTGATGAAGACCCGAAATTCAGTGATCAAAGAACCAGCATAGATAGTTATTGGGAATTCTCTTTTAAGATACTTGATATTCATTCTCTTCATTTTCTGTTCACTGAACCAGTCCACGACTCATCAGTAAAGTTCATCGCGATAAAAAGAATATAAACATAGGTTCGTAATTGGTTTTGAATTTATTAAATGGTCATCAAAGGGTCTGAGATTTATATGATCAAAATTGCTAATAATTATGACATAACCAGGAAAAGATTGGGCTCCTTCCGAAAAGTGACGATGAGTTGTTCGGAAAAAAGTGTTGCTGATCATATGGATAACTTTTTAGAACAAAACTGGTTTTCCGTTAGGTGAATATTTCGAAAAAAAAAAGTGAGATTCTTCACTTTTGTTTACTATCGTCATAAGAAAAATTGCTCCAAATCTTCATTTCTAGCTCTGGAAATTTTAGAGTTTGAAAGTAGGGACTCATGCTGGTGGCGTCTTGGATTTTTTTTTATTTCACCATTAAGTGAGCTCGAATAAGCAGATTGAAAACAAGCGGCCAGTAATTTTGCAAAAATTGTTTTATATTTATAGTTGTCGAAAAACCGAGGAATTTCGTAATATGTTAAAACAAGCAAAGTATTTGTTATTTAGAATATATCCCTAGATAAAGGATTCATCATTCACATACAAATTCAAATAAATGTTTCCCATACATGAAGTGATCAGTAGTTATCTGATTTCCATGTAAATTCTTGCCTGAGGATCAATATTGTATGTAGCTGTTGGAATATGTAAATCTTATATCAACTATTTTGATGTGACTCATATCGACTGTGTGAAGGTTTACCCTTCCTTTTGAAAGAGTTTATTTTTTTACTCAGTTTGATATCTGTCCGAGTCCTATAGCCTTCCGGACTTCATCCTTGAAGCAGATTTGTTTTGATCCCTTACCACTGGATTCTTCCCATGACACGTTTAATGCTACGGCCTTTGCTACAAATTCTCATTATTTTGCTGATATAATAATGTACTTTAGCATTGATTTTCTGTACCGGATTACTATTGCATTGTCACCAAAAGGATTCACGTAAGCTTGCTTCTATCTCAGTATCTCTTTTCAAAGCTTTTTCGCAACAGTGGTTACATAAGCGCAGAAAGCTGACTGATCAAATATGAGCTCAAGTTTGTTGATACAATGGTACAAAGATTTCAAAGTGAAAGATAAATGTTCAGAGAGTTGCAGAATTCATTTACTTACGTCTCAGCAGAATACTCTAGAAGAAGGCGACCGCTGCACAGACTTATGAGTACGCTGCAGTTAATTTTGTTTCACTTTCTGGATGAGTCAAAAAGGACGAAAGGACAAGAGTATGAGTTGTTCAGCCGTTAAATAAAGTTTGGAAAGTAGTGGATGTTGTGAGGGAAATTGCCTAGTTGGAAGGGACCGGCGATGAAGTTTGTGTTGTCTGACACGGATGCAAGGTGGTTGATAAAGGTTTATTGATGACGCAACAGTTTGTTGGCGAATACAGAAAATACAAAGACGGTTATAATTGGGGGGAAAAGAGGGGGGGGGAGGGGGTTGTGTGTTGAATTGGAAATGATTAAAGATTGAAGTTAAATTGGAGGTGGAGATGAGGAGGCCATCGATCATCGATACTTCGAAAAATTGATTTTAAAGATCCTGATATCGTGGGTGTGGTTTACAAAACTGATACATTGCGTAAAAGATTAATTCCCAAACAGAGGAATACGATGTCTGACAGAAGTCTGGATATGTACCATTGGATATAAACATGGTTATATTAAATGCTTTTACAATGTAGCCATCAATGTGCATAAGATGAGTTATCAGACCAGCTGCTCACTGGAAATCAAAGATTACAAGTAGCTTGATTGTCAAAATGGTAGTCCTTTAGCTACAATGTTATGAGAATTAGGTGAATGATTCATCACTTTGTATGTTGGAAATTTAATTTCAGTTCTTGTTTAATGAATCTCCTGCCGGAGAAATGATCTAAATAAGACAATATTTATTTATGAATCAAATTTGTAATGCACATACTTTGTTTTGGCGTATCATAATAAATTTCCCCGAGTTTTCCAACAAAGATCCTCTTTTGGCTAATGCCCACAGCGGTATATTTTGCTAAACAGTGTTTTTGTTCTGTAGTTGGAGTTGTTATTTGAAAACAAGCACGTCTCACATCTTTCGTATTGGATCTTGTACACTCCTGCTTTTAAAGTATAAAACAAATGTTAAATCCGTCAAGTATGAATTTGGAATATTTATATTTAATTTGATCTAATGTGAATTTCGAATGGTGAAACTGGTAGGTAAACAGAAGCTATTAGAAGTCATTTAATATAAACCAACCAGTATTCTAGATAATGCTAGTCAATATTCTTATTAGCACTGAGTAAC